CTCATGTGAAATTAATTGTGGTGTTTGGCCGCTATTCAACTTCGGAAAAGTTTCAGAATTACAACTCCAGAGGTGTTGGCCTATCTCAACAAGCAGTGTCACCTTAAAATAAGTGAGATGAATTGAAATCCAAAGCAAATGGTGGTTTAGAATGTTACCCTACCATAAGATTTAGTCAAAGTATTAAAATTTGTGTAAGTCACTCAAAAACCCAACTTTTCAAGTTGAAATCCACAGCAAGTAGTATTTCCCTACATTCTCCAAGTGTGTGCCCTGCTTTTAAGCCCATATTAATCAATTCAAGAATTTAAGTTACCCCAGATCTCATATCAGACTTGGCCCCGTTTCTTCAACTTCAATAATGTTCGACATCAACATGTCAGCTTGAGCATGCCAACGGCAAAGTGCACCAGCATTAAAAATTGGATTGAAAGGTCATGATAAGAGAGACACAAGTTACAAATATATAAATTTATTAATAAAAATCAGTCTTCCCCATTGGGGCGGGGTATTAGTTAAATTATATGGAAATCACATGCCCATCTGGGCGGGGTAATAGAAACAAAAAAAATCATATGGGCGATGGCAACTCCCTACTTCTTGGGAGCTGGGTTCTGTACAGAAGAAAAGCTAGAGTTAGTCAAAGTCAAAGGGTTGGGAAAGGGAAGGGGAGAGGACTTGCACACTTACAGCCGGGCGGGTGCGGCGTCGCCGTGTAGGGTCCTCCGGGACCTCGGCGTCAACCTGGGGGACGTCGGCTTGCTGGGCAGGGGCTGCAGCGGGGGCGGCGAAGTGAGCCTCCGCCATCCTCGGTGCTATCTCGGCCAATGCGGCCGCCAGACCGCGGGGCGCGGGGACGGGCCGGCGGGGCGTGGGGATGGGGCGACGGGGGCGGGCCTCCGGCCTTACGACGACGACCTACAACAAAAAGACCAAGTTAGAAGTCACATCAAACGAAAGAAAAGCACGAGGACGAAGTAGTACTCACCGGGCGCTCCGCGGCCTCCCTCACCGCCTCCGTGGCCTCCTTGGCCTCTTGCTTGGCGGCGCGCCGCGCTGCCGCTTCGGCCCGCCTGACGGCCTCCCTCATCGCCGCCGCGCTGATGAGGGGCTTGGGCTCGGGGACGGCGGGGTCGTGGGTGGCTCTGGCGGGGCGGGCGGTGACGGCCTGCCTCAGCCCCGGGCCGTGCCACTGGCGGTCGCCCTCAGCCCCGAGGCGGCTATGAACCGGCTGTAACGAAAAGAGTTAGACAGTGCTAAATACATCACGCTGGAGGAGACGCTGAGAGACTTACACCGCGCTGAGGTGGTGAAATGTAGCGGCGACCCCGATAGGAGCCGCGTCCGCGCCCGCGCCCGCGCGCAGCCGTGGTCGTGGTGGGGTCTTCCTCTTCACGTACTCCGAGCCGCTCGTGTACAGGCTGAACAGACAAACAGAGGTTAAGGCGACATCCAACTTGCAACGGCACTGAGCTAAAAACGAGGGTACTTACGATGCGGGGTTGGGGGTGTACAATAGCCACCCTCGAGGCGAAGGTGCGTCCCGCCTCCTTGGCCATTTCATCCTCTGCCTCTGTAGGGCGTGATGAAGGACCCGCAGCCCAATCTGAGGGCGGGGTCGGGACTTCGCTTGGGCTAGGGGGCCTCGCGCCCATCAAGCGCAAGTTGACACGCTGAAAAGATAGAAATTCGATAGAGATCCACATGCGGCAAGGTTAGGAAAGGGGCTCTCGCGGTTATTTTGAAAAGCGCGGCGAACTCAATCACAGCGAACTTGTGAATCAAAGAGTTCAAGAATGCATGGCGGAGGGGCACTCGCGGTAGCAACAGGTTAGGAGTCCGACACCTCTCGGGTCTCACAGGGATTTCACTCACACGAATTCCACACACTATAGTACTCACCACTTGCTCCTCCTCGGAAGAGGAGTCGGTGAAGTCTAGTCTTAAAACCTCTTCCTCTGATGACATTCTGCTTTCACAAACACTACACACGGACTTGACACACTGTCGCACACTGTCACGTCTGGAGCTACCGAACGTCTGGCGATCTGGTCCTTCCTTGCCCCGGACCTACTCAACCGACCCGCCCTCGGCTCGACCAATCAGAGCGCAGCACAATTTCAAATCGGCGACGGCACTGACAGGTGTCAATATTCACGTTTATTTCGCGTTTTAACCCTTTGGTGATGTCGCGCGATACGGCGGAAGGCGTGTCCATATTTATTCTTCCTTCTTTCAACTCGCACCGCTTTATTTGATGCATTAAATCACTTTTATTCAGCTTTAACGAGGCCCGGGGTCGGCGGCGCCATTCGAACGGCGGGCACTCATTGGCTGATCGGCGCGGCACCGTCGGAGACGTTTTTCGAAGTCTTTGTGATGTGTTGAAGAGAAATTAGAGTTGGACATGTATTTTAAACGTGTTCAAACCTGTCTGTGACTTCCAACCTCTGTATAAACTGTGTTTTCAATGTATGGCGTTTTGGGTTGGAGGCTTTGGCGGGAACCCGGCCGGTGGTCCATCAGCTGACCCGGGCATGCGCACAACACTTTGGCATTCCCTATTGTAGTTCCACAACCCACCACCAGAGGCGCACATTTGAATTTGGGCGCGGAGGACCCAGCCCGTGACAATAAGGTACCAGATGTTTGCTGACCTGCACTCACGCCCCTCGGAGACCCCGCCGGTG